CCTCCCCCCGCAGCACCTGCTGTGCTCCCCGCCCCTCACCACCTCCTCCCGTCCCACCTGCTGTGCCCCCTCTCCCTCAGCACCTTCTCCCCCGCTTCACCTGCTGTGTCCTCCCACCCCACGGCACTTCTCTCTGCGTAACCTGCTGTGCCCCCCCCACCTGCACTGCAGCACCTTTCTCTCCCACATAACCTGCTGTGCTCCCCCCCTACACCTTCCCTTGTAAACTGCTCTGTGGGGTCTGGAGTGGTGGCTCTGAACATTTCTATGGACAGGACAGCTCTGATCCCCATATTCCTATTTAGTCCTCCACTAGGGATGTTAAATTGAGGTTATTTTAGTCATTCAGTAGTTGATAGAATTTTTACCGATCACTTGATAGGGCAAGGCAGCCCTGCTCTGTCCTGGCTCATGCTGGGACTAAACTCTGCTGCAGCTCTGCAATTTAACGCTCCCCCGGCTCCTCCTACATGTTAAATTGCAGAGCCACAGCAAGGGTTGGTTCCCGACCTGACGTGAGCTGGGACTGAACCAGGCTGTCTGCCTGCACAGCTCCTAAAAAGCAATCCAGCTCAGACCCTGCAAAAATGGGAAGCACTGGGAATGGGCCTGTTTGCTAAGGGGCAGAGAGAGGTGGGACACAATACTCATATTTACCAGTGGGGAAGAGGGGTGTAAGCATAGCGGACAGCTGCACCAGTAAGAGAGTGGCAGGCTGAGGACAGAGCAGGTAAGTGGCCTCTCTGCCCCAAAACATTGCTGGGTGGGTGAAAAGCCCACCTCACAGACAGCCTGCTGGCCATTCATTTCATTTTCTGAAAACCAAAAATTAATTGAGTTAAGGACCTGAGCAAATCTTCTAGTTCTTAATAAATTATTCAGAACAATCAGCCACAGATTTTCATTGAATATTTTGAGGGAGAATTAGTTTGGCTCCTTCTCTCTTCAATGAAGCTGAAGCAACATGGTTGTCGTAGGAGTATTTTGTGACTTGACCAACAAGTCACAAAATTTTATTTTATTCCTGGAGAAGACGTACTTAAGTCTTTGGCTAAAAGATACATGAAGTGGGCAATGCAGCCGTATGTTAAGCATACTTTCATTTCTTATAAGTATTTTCTCATCTTTGCTACGGTTGTAGCACTGTCTCTGACAAAACTGCACACATGATAGTTGAGTTTTTGTTCACAGTTTATTATAGTTTCCACTGCCACTTCTTTTAAATAACCTGTTGTGTGGGCATTTCCAGATATCTCTGTTGCTTCTGAAAGATATGCAACCCCATCTTCTGTTGTCACACAAGCACATATCACTAGATCATTGTGTACATTGCTTTTCCCATCAAGGGTTAAATTGGCAAATTTCCCCTCAGTGTTTCCTGCATGCTGTTCGAGTTTCTTCTCATATATGGTATCTAGCAACCTTCCACCAATGTCTGCTCTACCAGGTCATCCCTACTGTAGGAAAGGATGGAGGCATAGAAAGAAACAGAGGAGGGGATTAAGAATGTTAAGAGGTAGGTAATTCACTAATCATGTAGTTAATAGAATTTTTATTGACTACACAATTCGACGATAAGGGAAGAAGTTGGATCCTTCAACCAGGGAGTATAGCCTGGTTGTAAGGATTCAACCTTGTCAATGTAAGTGTTGTGGTAATAATGTGGGGGAATGTAGGAAGCTGTGTGTATGCTGAAGAATGGCTTCCCTTTTCCTTTCCAGTCCACTCTAGGGATGTAATAGAGTAGTCGTGTAGTCAATTAGCTATCAACTACATGCAAAGCTGCAGCGGGGGACCTACCCTCACTGCGGCTCTGCATTTAAAATGTAGTAGGAAACAAATGGGCAGGACCAAAATTTGGTCCCAGACCCGGCATGAGCCATGACTGAGCTGGACTGCCTGCTTGCCCAGCTCTTACTACATTAAAAATGTAGAGCTGCAGGGTGGGTAGGTCCTGGACCTGATGCAAGCTGGTACTGAACTTGGCTTGCTCAATCCCACAGTGCCCTGAGTCCTGGATCTACCCCACTGCAGCTCTGCAGTTGAAATGTAGTAGGAGCCAGGCTGCCTGCTTGCCCAGCTCTTACATTTAAACTGCAGAGCTGCAGTGAGGGTAGTATGTGCCTGTCCCGGCTCAAGCTGGGACTGAGCACTTCTTCCCTTACCGTCTAATTGGGTAGTCAATAAAAATTCTATTAACTACATGATTAGTGAATTACCTACCTCTTAACATTCTTAATCCCCTCCTCTGTTTCTTTCTATGCCGCCATCCTTTCCTACATTAGGGATGTTAAATATCGATTAACTAAACTAGTTGATAAGGACTAGTGCATGTTCTGCCTTGGAAATGTACAAATGCTCCAGCAGGAGCATTTCAAAGTTGGAATGCTGTGTGGAGCCTGGCCAATGGGGAGTGCCCTGCTGACCCCAGACTCCATATGGCGCTTCCACTTTGAAATGTACAAGAGCCCCAGCTGGGGTTCTTGTACATTTCAAAGAGGAAGCACTGCTGCTGCGTCTCTACCCCATCCCATGAATCTGGGGGGAACTGGCTTTTAAGCCGGCTCCCTCCAGAACGCCTTTCTCATCCCCTCCGTGCTGCCTCTTTGTGATAGAGGCAGCAAGGGAGGGGAGTGGCTAGTCAACTAGTCAATTAGTTGCTTAAATCTTTGCTACATCCTTTCCTAACTATTGTCCTACATATTCCTACATGTTGTCTCTGTTTTTAAGACAATGTCTTAACTAACTCCTCTACGTGCTTGGCCCAGGTCCACCACCACATAAGCACAGAACAAAAACAATCCTATCCAGCCTTTGTCTGTCTTTGCACATGTTACTTTAGTGTTCTGAAAAACAGAAATTGAAAGCCCGGAACTTTCAAGAAGCAAGAACTAGCAGTTAGGCTAGACAGACTAAAGCCATTAATTCATTATTTTGAGACTGTAAGTATAGATGTCACATGTTTGTGATGATATGTAATTGTAATGTTTATTTTTGAATGAGAAATTTAGGTTTTTTTTTTTTTAAATTAAAAAAATCAAATTTAAGTAAAAATTGGATTTTTTTTATTAAAAATCATTAATTTTGTATCTATCCATGTGCTAGTCAAGGGAGCATCCCAATGTATCAAGAAGTGTAAACTAGGGATGTTAAAAGAAGTTTATTTTTGTAAATGTGTATCAGAGGCAGTAGCGTGGAAGGGGGTAAGCGGCTCCATGGGAGTCAGCACATGAAGGGAGATGGCTTAAAAGCTGGCTCCCCACGTGCACTGGCTCCCAGTCTCCCTTTTATCCCCTCACTGCCTCAAGGCCCAGGATTTTTTAAACCTTTCCTCATAGGTCAAGTTTTCTAAACTTTTTCTCATTTTTGTTGATTTCTTCTGGACTCTCTCCAATTTCTTTACATCTTTCCTAAAATGTGACACCAAGAATTGGACACAGTACCACAGCTGATACCTCTCACCATCATGTAGGTCCACTCTATCACGTCCCCTGCTTTATGAAAATTGGCTTATGAATATGCATATCTCAAATATACTTCAGACAAAATGTAACAGTCTAATTCATGTAACAGTCAATTCAACTGCTTCATGCAACAGTCAATTCAACTGAATATATATATCCCACTTTTGTGCATGTATTAATCGTGTACGTGAAGTTAGAAATATGAAGTGTGAATCTGTTTATAGTTCTAAATGTGCTAATGAGTACTATTAGTAATACTTCAGGTACCTAATGACTCAGTACTCAAACCGATGATCTGTGAATGGTTGTGCTTGTCCTTTAAGCCCAAAATATGGTTTGTCCTAGAAAGACATGTGACCCTGCCATCTGGTACTAGAATCCATCTTGAACCTGGTATTATTCTGAAGGATTGAGGGATGCCGAACAAAGGGTTCCTGCCCTGGGTGAAATTCTATTTAAGCAATGGGAATCCATCAGCCCTTTGTCTTTAGTTGGCCTTTGAAACTCCTTAGCCCACCCTAAGAGGGTGTAAAGAACTGTGATTGGGTAAACATGGAACCTCTGAAAATCTCAGCAGTTACATGGTTTCCTGCAGCACAGGGCGGCAGCTGGTGTGAGCCAGGAACTGGCTTTTAAGTCAGCTTCTGGTGCACATTGGCTCCTGCCTGCTTCCCCACTCCCAGGGAGCTGCCTACAGATACAGAGGCAGCAGCTGCACGGTTCCGGCTCCTGGTACACACTGTCTGCCTCCCCGTGCTGTTGCCTCTGAATCAGAGGCAGCAGTGCAGAGTAGCAGGTGGGGCTGGGGCGGGAGGGGGGCGGGGGAAAAAACGTATGTTTTACCCGTTTCCACTTTCCCATGCCTGCTACATGCCCCTCAATCCTGATTCCTGCAGCCTCTCATACACCACAACTCTCTGCCCACACACTCAACCTTATAGTTACTTTTCTTACAAATACTGTCATATTGTAAAGCTCCTGCCCCAAATGCCCTGGAACCCTTAAAGGAGGGATTGTGAGAAATGTAAGTTACTTTCACCCATGGTAAACATACTCTCTATTACAAATCATTAATTAAAATATTGACTAGTGCCAAACTCAAAATTGACCCTTGTGGAACGCTACGAGATATACTCTCCCAACTTCCTAAAAACCATTGATAACTTTGAGTTGAGTCTTTCAAATAGTTTTACATCCACTTTCTAATTATCATCTAAACCATATTTCCTTAGTTTGCATATGAGAAGGTCATGTGGGACTTTGGATATGTCTACACAGCATAGAACCACCTATGGCTAGACCATGCCAGCTAACTCAGGCTCGTGAACCCTGGGTTGTAGAACTGTTTCATTTGGTTTCTGGACTCAGGAACACTCCTACCTCATGCGGTCTTACACAGCAATGAAACAGCCCCATAAGTCTTGTTGGCTGGCATGGGCCAACCCCAGGAGTACAGTTACTGTATAGACATACCCTGTATCAACAGCCTTACTAAAATCTAATTATATCACATCTACTCCACATTCACTGGGCAGTAACTTTGTCTGAAGGAAATTAAGTTGGATTAACATGATTTGTTCTTGACAACTCTGTGCTAGTTATTCCTTTTAAATCTATCTCCTCAGTGCTTTCAAATTGATTGTTTAATAATTTCATTTTCTTTCCATGTCTTAGAGTTAGGTTTACAGGTCTGTAATTCCCCCGAGCCTCTTTGTTCCACTTATTAAAATTAGGCACTATGTTTGCTCTTCTCCAATTCTCTGGGACCTCACCCATCCTCCATGAGTTCTTAAAGATAATTTCTAATGATTCTGAGATTGCTTCAGGTAGTTACTTAAGTACTCTAGGAAGAATTTCAACAGGCCCTGCCAACTTGAATATATCTAAATTACCTAACTAGTCTTTAACCTGCTCTTTCCATGTTTTGGCTTCTGTTCCTTTCTCCGTGTTGTTAATGTTAATTGTATTGAATGTCTCATTGGTACAATGTTTTCCTTTTTTTGCTTTTTCTTTAGAAATGGGTGTGCAGTCAGAAGATGTAGAGCTCTAATGTGGAGTTTGGGACAAAGTCAATAATGGCATCAGAACTTGGCAAAACAATCTCTGAGGCAAAGCTGGAAAGGCACAAGAACTTGTTCTTAAATTACCGAAATCTGCATCATTTTCCTTTGGAATTATTAAAAGATGAAGGTCTGCAGTACCTCGAGAGACTTTATATGAAAAGAAACTCCTTAACCACCCTGGTATGATAAGTTGTCTGACTTACTGTCTTTGTTCATGGTAGTTTGAATACATTCTGATTTGAAAGGTTTGATGAAGTGCATTTTTGTAGCCTGTTACTTGTCTTTCAGAAGGTCTTATCCTGAATGGTGCTGAACACCCTCTCAGGACCTTGCTCCATCATGAAGATTAAACATCACATTATGTCATTTATGTTGGAAATACAGATATCCCATGGATAAGGTTTTTGATGTGCTTCAGGTTTCTCAGTGTATGCACAGTGTCCCCAGCTATTTGATAGCATTATCATCAGCCAGGTGAAGAGCTGGTAGCCTGTGTTCAAAGTCATAGAATCATGGCATTGTAGGACTGGAAGGGTTCTCAAGATACCTCGTTCAGTCTCCTGCACTCATAGCAGGACTATTATAGACCATCCCTGACAGGGGTTTGTTGTACCTGTTCTTAAAAATCTCCAACAGTGGGAATTCCACAATTTCCCCATATCATTTATGCTAGTTCTTAAGCACCTCTACAGGCAGTTTTTCCTGTTGTCCAAACTAAACCTCGCTGCAATTTAAACACATTACTGCTTGTCCTAGCCTCTTAAGTTAAGAAGAACACTTTTCCCTCTCATTAACAACTTTTATGAATTAGAAAACTGTTGTTATGAAAGCCCCGCAAACCAGTGGATTTCAGGACTGTTTTTGTGTATTGCAGAATGGATGCAGATATAAATTTTGTGTCCATGCAGGACTCTACTTATCAGGTCTCACTGTTAGTCTTCTCTTCTTCAGACTAAATAAACCCAATTTTTCAGTCTTGCCTCAAATGCCATGTTTTCTAATAATCTGATAATTTTTTATGCTTCTCTCTGGACTTTCTCCATTTTGTATGCATCATTGCTAAATGTTGGCACCCAGAACTGGACACACAATTCCAGTTGAAGCCTAATCAATGTGCAGTAGAGGGAAGAATTAATTTTCATGTTTGCTTACTACACTCTTGCTAATTCATTCCAGGATGATGCTTGCTTTTTTGTAGTAGGAATTTTGCGTTTTCTCACATTTAGTTTGTGATCCACTATGACCCTCAGATCCTTTTATGCAGAACTTCTTCCTAGACAGTCATTTCACATTTTGAACTTTAATTTTGTCCTCCGAAGCACTTGCAACCCTCCCCGCTTGGTGTTATCCACAAACTTTATATGTATTCTTTATCTTATTATCTGAATAATTAATGAAGATACTGAACAGAACAGGACATAGAACTGATACCTGTGGAACGCTGCTCAATAAGCCCTCCAGCTTGGCTATGAACCACTGATAAGTACTCGGCAGGCACTCGTCAAGGTTACACAATACAGTCTGAAGTTGACTAAATCTACATTGCAGGTTGTTAGAGAAACCCATTTGAAGATATTGGCTGCAATATTGTCCATTTCAAAAGCACTTCAGGGATGAGCACAGTGGCCTTGTGAGGTCAAAACTTGGTGGGCAGATGGTTTTTATAGTAGCATTATGCAGGGGAAATAGTTTTTAGCATATCTTGGAAAAGCTTTACTGCAGGAACCATTGATTACAATAGTCTGCTATGAGTTTCATATCATTCAGTGTCATCTTAATTTTTTAGAAGACCTGAACTTGTTAACTTCAATAGATGCGGTTGGCATAGATACACTTGCACAAGTGTGTTCCTAGTATTGGTGGAACAACTGAACCTTGAGGAAGACTGTTAATCTGACACAACTAGAAACTCAGATGGTTACCTACGTGTGATTTTTTGGAGGGAGAGGTCTGTTACTTTGACCATCCAATGCGAGGCAATTCAAGAGAGCTTACGCAAAATATCTTGGTGCAAAACTGTGGCAAAAGTAGTGGTCAAATCCAGGAAGATAGCTCCTGTCTTTTGATTTTGTTGAAAATTATTTTTGAGAATGTGGTCAAAGCCAAGACTTCATCACAGGTGCCAAATACTTTTCCAAACTATGCCTGTTCAACCCCTAAACATCATCCAGCTCTGGAGTGATTGGTTTAAAATCAAATACTGTACTCAAAAACCTTGGAACACACTGAGAGCAAGACTATTGGGTGGTAACTCCCCCACATCCTTGCCCAGGAATTGAATGCACAGATTACCAAGTGCATTTTATACCCTCTGTTATATTCAGCCTTTTATGTTCTTTGTTTGCCACTCAGCATCAGTGTGATTTTTTTTTTTTAAGGCTTACAGATTTTGCTCAAAAATCTAATGTTCCCTCTTCCTATTTATTGTTTGTTAAAACTCCCCTGACAAGTGTCACACATGGAAGTCTGATCTACCTTCTTTGGTCATCTAAACAGTATTTTCTTTGCTAGGTGTCCCATTGAAAAGGCAGTAAGTATCAGTCTTAAGCTGTGATCCTGAGCTCTCCTTTGCGGCTGGAAGAACCTGTGGGTATTGGCTACCACATGTCTAAAAAATGGCGAAATGTGTGGGCTAACTTGAACATCTATTTAAAATCTCCCCCCACAAAACTCAATCCTAGATTATAGCCCTTCCCTGCAAATCATTGTGAACCAGTACTGACCAATTATTCAGTATGATATCTTCTCCCAGCAAGATATTGGTTATTGTGCAGTTGCTTTCTGAAACACATTTCCCTTTTCCTAATTATTAAATTGAATTACATTTATGTTGCAGGCTTTTAGTTGATATTTGTTGAAACAGCGGTGTAGAATCTGTTTACAGTCACATTATGAACAGAATAGAAGTTAAGTGCCATGATAAACTTAAATTTGTTTGAAGAGGGTGGAGTAATAGCCTGTCATTGCTTATATACTCAATAATATGTGCAAGATTTCTCCTTTGAGCTTTAAAATTCCTATTCATTACCTCATTCTTGTAAGGATTTAAGAGTACAACTGTTTAAATGGTTTACCAATAAGCATCAGCTTATCGGTTTATATTATGGTTATGCGCCTGCTCCTGGCCCTGCTCCCGGGAAGCCAGCTGCTGTCCTGTGTTGTAGACTCTGCAGTATAAAGCAGGGTTACTCAACTTTGGAAGCCCCAGGGGCTACCGTGATACTTAAAGCACATACCGAGGGCCACAATTTAAGTGTGGTTGTATGTACATGTAAATATATATGCAAATAGCTTCTTTCACACTGATGGGCATGAATACAAAGATTAAGGCAAGACTACACCACACGCAGACCCCATTTAATTCAGTTCTGATGCTATTAATAAAATGCAATATTTACCTGATTTCCACCCATATGACAGTACTTTTAATGATCAATGACTGTCCAGGCATTGAGCTACTAAAATGCAAATCAACAGAAGACCATTATATTGACTCGCCATTATAGATCGTGTTCCTAGTGGAGGCCATATTCAAAGGATCCCACCTGTCAGCCATGTGTTGAGCCCCGCGTAAACCCAAACTGCACCATGGACCGCAAACAAGCAGACCACGGGCCATGTGTTGAATAGCTGTGGTATAAAGCTTACACTGCAGACCCCGCAGTGAAGCCAGCTCCCCAAGAGCAGGGTTGGCAGCTGGGAGCTGGTGTGCTGTATGAGAGCCCACAGAGTGAGGTGGCAGCTGGCTCCCGAAAAGCTAAGCTGGCAGCTGGAGACAGTATGTGCTGGGAACCAGCTTATACTAGAAGCTTTATACCGCAGAACCTGTAGCATGTGTAACCACTAGGATTTTTAACAGTTACATAGTTACATTTTAACCATTTTTTTTAACATCCCTACTTTCCGATATTTGATCCTCTGTTTGTTTGTTTGTTTTGTTGATCCACACATTTTGTGTTTAAAGCTGTTTCACGTTGTGAAGAAAAGTTATTATGTAATTTTTTTCTGGGGGGTGGAGGGTGGAGGGTGTGAATAGAAAATATGAAGAAAAGTTATTATGTAATTTTTTTCTGGGGGGGTGGAGGGTGTGAATAGAAAATACTACATTAATATAGATAAACCAGAAGTATTTGTTAGACTAAATAGTTTTGGGCAAGAATTCATTAACATTGATCGATTCTAGAGTTAGGTTTAAATCGAAAAATTTTTCCATTAGAACATAAAGCCATTTTTTTTAAGTCTCGCCTTAGTTTTTGCATGTATTTGGTTAACACTGAGGAAAAATATAAAAGGAAAACACATCATTCAAAAACCTTTCTATGCTACATTAGCAAGTTGCATGACTATTATGTGAAAAATGAATGTATTGTAATACAGACTTTCCAGCAGGTGGCAACCATTGCTTAGCTATTTCTTATTTTCTTCTGTGGGTTGTGACACTTTCATTTAGAAAATCAATTCAGTTGTGGAGTTGCTGGTTGCTGTTTCGTAGTTAAGACTGAGTTGAGGGGTTTGCTCTTAAATCACGGATGTTCAACATCATTGTTATGTATGAGAAACATACACATTTTGCCTATCTTACACAATTTTTCTGGTATCTGACTGAAGTCATTTGCATAACTCAAGCAATTCAAAACCGCCAATTTCTGGCCATGCTAGCCAGCTGAGTTTTTCCCTGTTATAAGAGGCTTTCAAATAGCATAAAACCATTGGTTACCTTCCACACCAATTTCCCTTACTTCTGGGGTATCTTGAATGTGAAGAGGAAAAGGGACCCCATGCAACCAATGGGCAGTAAGCCACTGGTATGAATTTGGGCAACTTCTGTTCCAACTAGCTCAGAATCTCAGAGTTGTAGCTATTGCCTTCACTACCCTTTGCTGACTAGGGCGCATGTTAGTTTTTAAAATAACAGATCTCTAACTTTTATTTTTCAGCCAGAAAACCTTGCACAGAAGCTTCCAAATCTTGTGGAATTGTAAGTGTTGGAGTTTTGACCATTTTTATTCTGATAATCCATGTCCATTTATTATTGTTTAAATAAGAATGTTGTGTTTTTATATAATATTCTTTTTTAGTATAATGTGTTTTTCCCTTTGGTAATAAAATGAGGTACTTTGGCTTCTGGCTATATTGAGGCCCCTGCTAAAATTCCTTTCTGTGTCATAATTTCTTGTTAAGATTGTATTATGAGGGAATGTTGATGTCCTCCACCTCATGTGGTAAGAAAGGGGTCTGTACTAGTTGTCGTACCAGGCCTGTGCACCTTGGCACAGCTGGGGGGAGGCTTCACATTTGTTGTCCTTGGTGATTAGATGAACCCTATTTGATTAGTGGATGTACAATATCTTTTTGAGACCTACATTTGATGTAGTTCATCAAACAACCATTGTGCCTTTAGAACTGGAATTTAAATATGCTTGTCTCCTTACCTGCCTTACTACTTTATAACAGGTATGACTTGATCTTACTGAAGAGTTTGTTAGTGCAATGTGTTTTTTGAAATACATATTGTAAATTCAAACTTCAAGGAAGCATTGAGTGCTTGAGCAATATAAATTATCTGTCTGAGCTTGTCTTCTCAATTTGGTTGTTGAAACTTGCTAGGACTCATGTCCACAGCATATTTTAACTGTTTTGTAGGTCATTGCCGTCTCCTGCTTGTTGAAGACAATTTTGCCTCCTCAGGACTCATGTCCACAGCATATTTTAACTGTTTCGTAGGTCATTGCAGTCTCCCGCTTGTTGAAGACAATTTTGCCTCCTTTTGCCCTATATTTTGGGTTTACATACACTGAAACAGTGAAACACCTTTCTTGTATTTGATGTATTTTACAGTTACATTTTGCCACTAGGCATCAGAAACTTTGTGTTACCTGATGATGCCTTTAGAAGAGCCGGCTTAAAATTGTTCAGAGGAGGTTATTTTTAGCTTCAGCAAATAAGCAAAATAAGTCTATTTAATAAATATGTATGTATTGATTTAATTACCACCTGCCTATCAAGCTTTGTTGTACTACCTTTATCCCATGTATTTGGTATGTAGGTGATGGCAATTTTTCTGCAACTTCTATAGTACCAATACAATAATTTAAATAGTAGCTGAGACAATAATTGGTTTGTGGCTAGAAGAGAAAATATAGAAAAAGGAGACAATAAAGTATATAGATTATATTTTAAAAAGAATAATTTGACAGTAGGTTCATGTTTAAAATACATATTTGTTACTGCAAATATACCTCCTTTAGTTTTAGAGTACAGGCAGTCCCCGAGTTACACGGATCCGACTTATGTCGGATCCACAGTTACAAACGGGGCCCTCCCTCCCCCTGGTCTCCAGCAGACCAGGGGGACAGGGAGCAAAGCGGCGGAACACGCGGGCAAACTCCCTCCTTCACCAAACTCCCTCTCAGACTTCACAGAGTCTCTTGCACCCCATTCCCTTATCCCATGTGCCCTTCTGCACTGAATCTCCATCTTAGACCGCGCACCTCCTCCACAGGAAAGTGCAACCCTTGACCACTTTCCAAAATCTTAGAATGGTCCCTTACCCAAAAATATTGCCTATCCCTGATCTAAGTAGTACAAATACAAATCTGGTCTGATAATCAATCTTATTTTTTTCCTCTCGTCTTCTGTACAGTATCCAATGCTGTGGTATCAAACTAATTAGGTCTAAAGGTCCAAATTCTATGTTTAATTTTGGTCTGTGGGTTTGTGTTATAATTTGGACTACATACCTCCTATTGGTGTCAGAAGGAAGCTAGTACATAGATATGGCCTTTGTGTAGTTACTAACGTTTTAGATATTATAGTAATCTTTTCATACCTTTTTGTCAGATTTAGTATTGCTCAGTGAGAAAACATTTCTACTTTTTCTAGGAATACCACTCTTTCTGCCCTTTGTTTTCTTACTTTTTTTTGTGCCTCCTCTTTTCTTCTGTGCAGAAGCTCTACTCCTCATTTTTCTGTGGCTTCATTTTCACTTCCTTCCTATGCTAGTCACTTAAATGATTTGCAATGGAAAAGCTAATGTTGATATTGATGTTTCATTATTGGGCTTTCATGTCAATGGTCCAGTGACAGTAATATAGGGCAGAAAAGTTCACACCTCTTAGCCTTAGTTCCATGCTGCATGCACACTGAGGAAGACAGTGTATTGGTTGAATATGCTTTATTTACATCTGAGTAGTACAAATGTATACATATTATACTGAATTTTGTTGAATCTGGACGCCAGTTCCGACTTACATACAGATTCAACTTAAGAACAAACCCACAGTCCCTATCTTGTACGTAACCCGGGGACTGCCTGTAGTGTTTCCTAAACTTTTGAAAGCTGAAATCCCCTTAAAGATAATGAAATGGAATATATCCCCCTGGCAATACCACTATATATTTTTAAAGATCTACTCATATTAGGGTATGTCTACACTGCATGCTTATTTAGAAATAATCTATTCCTGAAGAAATACTCTGAAATAGCTTATTTTGAAATAACACGTTTACACTACAGGGAAACCTCAAAATTAGTCAGAGGCAGGCTTCCCTAATATGGACGTGCTACCTCAATTTAGAGCCACAGGAGGCACTGGGGAATAATTACTTTGAGTGTCTCTGGGGAGGAGCTATTTTGAAACAGTAGCAGTGGAGCGTCCACACTACTGCTATTCTAAAATAGCTATTTCATAATAGGTGTTATTCCTCAGAGTTTACAGAAGACAGAATAAGCTGTCCATTGTTTTGAATTTATTTCAAAATAATGGAATTTCTGTGTAGATGCTTGTGGTGTTATTTCGGAATGATGGCCGTTATTCTGAAATAATGCTGCTATGTGTAGTTATTTTTCATTTTTCTCACTAGGGTGCAGCCCTCACAAGGGGAACTTTTTTGTGTAGACTAAGGTAACTGTATTTTAAATATTGGTTGCTTGCTTACAAACTTAAGTCTTTCTGTTTTCAAGCAGAAAGTAACAGTTTAAAAGATGCATTTTAACCTGTTCTTAAATTACAGTAATTGTGGGTGTTCACCACCAGGGAGTGCTAAATGCACTTTATCAACTTTAAAATAGCTACTGAGATTTGTCTGGACTTGTCACTGTAATTACTGGTTGACGATTGCCTTCATAAAATTTATTTTAATACTTTACATTTAAAAAAATTACATTACCATGACAAGTAAATTCTGTATGCTTATGAAACTCTACATAGTTGTACACAGCAAGGATGTAAAAATTCATTTAAAAATATAACTGTAGCTATTCAAAATCCTAGCCATTATATGGCTACACACGCTGCAGACTTTGTAGTATATAAGCTTTATACTGCAGTGCCCACAGCCAGGCCAGTTCTCCAAGAGCGGGACTGCCAGGGGCTGATGGCCCCACTCCTGGGGAGGCTGTGCTGCTGGCTTTCTTATACTGCAGAGCCTGCAGTGAAGCCACAGCTCCTACTGGTTCTGCTACCAGGGAGTGAGTGTGCAATCATAATGGAAACTGATAAGCTGATGCTTATCGGTTAATTGTTTAAGTGGTTACACTTTTACTTCCCTAGTACACAGCAGGAGAGGACATATGACAGAATTGAGTGCAATCTGTTGACACGTGATTTATTTTTTTCTACGTTTGGAATTTTTGTTGTTATGAAGTAAAAATTGTAAATAGTTGGAAATGAAATGGTTGTGAATAGTGTTCTTGTGCAAGATGTTTGAGTGTTTATAATAATCAGCTAACCATTGTTGACTTGAATTTTTGTTCCTGATTTAAATGGGTTATAAGTGAAACCTTTGAGTATGCTAATTAGTGCTGTACAATTTACTGTGCTGTATAATGTCATGGTCAGAAAGAGAAATGACTGTGCGGGTGTTTTTCCTTTCCAATTTCAGATTGAACATTTTGCCAACTGATTATCTAACCGAAGTCCTTTAGGGTAACAGGTGGTGTTATTTGTTCTTTTCCCCCCAGGTATCTTCATTCAAATAACATAGTTGTTGTACCTGAAGGTAAGTGCCCTACTAGCATCAAATAAAGTGTCAGAAACAATATTTTATTCAGTAAAAAGGCCTGTTTCCATTGTGTTCCCGTGACGTTCTAAAGCGATCCACTGAAATACACCATTATAATCCTTAGAATTAGGGATGTAAGAAACTAGTTGACTATCCAATGAGCATATGGTTATCGGATAGTTGACTCTATTAGTTGCTTAAAAACTGGGTCCCCCCCCAGCACTGTCTCCATGGGCGGGGGAGGTCTTGCTACATTTCAAAAGCAAAGTGCATGGGAAGCACAGGGCTAGCGGAGGACTCAAGCAATGTCCAAGAGGAGTTTTTGTACATTTCAAAAGCAAAGTGGAGCATGGGACCAGCAGGGGCAGCTTGAGTCCCCTGCTGGTCTGTGCTCCCCACACTCGCTTTGCTTTTGAAATATACAAGAGCTTTGTGGAGACTCTTGTACATTTCAAAAGTAGGGAGCGTGGGGTCCCATGGCACCGTATTCTCTGCGGTGCTTCCACCTTGGAAAGGTTGCAAGAGACAATAGGGCTCTTGATACATTTCAAAGGCGGAAGTGCCCTTATCAACCAATCAAATGGTCTATGCAAGTTGTATCGACTATTAAATTTGTTGATTAATCTAAATTTAACATCCTTACGTAGAATGTTGATATACTTGCTTGTACTATGTTCAAGTATTTTATTAAACTTTCAGGTGAACCTACATGATATTGGCTCTATTCCCATTACAAGAAGTAAAAATTCTAAATGACACATATCAGTTAAACAACTCCTCAGGATCATATACGGTACTTTTGTTTTACACAGTCATGATAAGTAGTTTGAAACCTAAAGAATCAATAATTACATTGGCCTCTCTATTGCTTATATTTTATTGTGGAGTAAAATGTCCTACCTTCAGAAAAGAAAGATTTAAAGTCTGGGGCAGGTAAATTGGACACAGGTGATGACAAAGGAAAGTAAAAAGTAATTTCATGGGAGAATCGTGGTTGGAAAAATATCAAAATCTGTAATGTTTTATGTGTGATTTATTTTTTCATTTCTGTTCTTCCAATACTGCTTGGTATCAATAGAAGTGCTTACAAATACTTAGCTCCCCTGGCATTCAGTTTTGAGACCAATGGTTTTAATACCTCACAGTCTGTTCAGAGATAGACTCTAATTATCTCACCAATTACAAAGATAGCTTCCCCAATTATCACCCCCTAATATCATTACCTCACAGAAACTTCCCCTATTATCACCCCTAATGTCATTACCTCACAGACACTAACCTTCCCCCCCCCACCCCCACTCTGTTCTAAAATTTGATTTGTCAATTTCACATGCGTTCATTTTTTTTATTGTATCATTTTGGTATATATGGTTGTGCCAATTTTCTTCTACAAATTGACCTGAGGAAGTGGGTCTGGCCCATGAAAGCTCATCACCTAATAAAGCATCTTGTTAGTCTTTAAAGTGCTACATAGTTCTATCTTTTGTTGTAGCTAGACCAGACTAACACGGCTGCATCTCTATTACTGTTCAGAGATAGGTATTAGATATTGAGGCCTTTTATCATCACATAGTCCTATTAAGGTTTTAACATTACTCCTGGATCACACTTACTTTTTTGTGTTTCTATTCTCTCATTAGCTATTGGCTCCTTGGTTAAACTGCAGTTTCTGGACTTAAGTGACAATGCTCTTGAAATTGTGTGCCCTGAGATTGGCCGCCTGAGGTCTTTACGTCACCTTCGATTGGCCAACAACCAACTGAAATACTTACCTGCAGGTGAGGGATTCAAAGCAATGACAAATGGAGCTACCCTACTGTTAAATTTGTGCATGTATCTACCATGTGCACTTCAATTTTGTGATTTTAAAAAAAAGGTTGATGCAAGTAAATTTTAGAGCAGAATGGGCAGGGGGACTATTATCCACAGTTTTGTATAGTGCCAAACATATTCTTCATTTAACAAATGATAATAGTAATTTTCCCAGTAACATGCTCTTTATAAAGGTGGTCATCAGATTGAAAAAAGAATCCTTCATACATTTTTCTTACGAATTTTCTGTGATATTTTTTGCTATTGTATCAACATTTGAAGCTTCTTGAAGGAGATAAAAAACACTAACATCAAGTTTCACTTGGGGAAAATTTCTTGAATTCCAGTTTTGTATCATTTAAATCAGGGGTGGGGAATCTAAGGCGTTGGGGCCGGATGAGCCTGCACTGGTGCTCTGGTCCCCGCTGCCCTCCTGCAGGGCTGGAGCACATAAAATCTACTAGCCAGGGTCCCCTGGCCCCTAGGCTCTGGTGTACAAGGGGATGAGGGGAATACGGGGAGTGTCTTTCTCCTTCTCAGTTGGAGGTCACCTTAGCGAGGGTCGGATTTTTTTGCTTTTCACTTTTGTGCATCACCCGACCCAAAAAAGGTTCCCTGTCCCTGATTTAAGTGATGTAGCTCTTCTCTTATTCCTCTGTCCCAGGTCTTCCATGTCTATGTTCCCTAAAGAGACACCCATCATGTATATTTGTCTGTAGTTCATTAACCTCACTGTGACATTAGATGACAAATTTTGATATAATTACATAATTAAAAAAGCAGGTATTATCCAAAAAAATCTGATGTAGTGTTAGAAAAAAATTGACCCTTGACAGTTTCAGTCGCTTGATTATTGTTTCTTGTTTATCAAAGCATTTAAAAGTAACTTTTCCCAAAATGAGGCTCAGTTTTCTTGTCAAGTTGTTGAGGTTTTTTTAACACCTTGCGTTGGCCTTTAACGTATGTTGATCTGTACAGAACATAGTCTCAAGTCAGCATTTCAAAAATGCTTTCCTTAATCTAATAGAATTAGGTTTTGCCTGGCATTTTAACTTAATTTTGAACTTGTCCTTCATTTGCTTGCACAACAATTTTGCATTTTTTAGAAAGATGCAAACATCTTTCTCAAAGTTTCTTAAAGTTTTGAGCACAGAAACTGAACTGTCCTTTCCCTCAGCTGTAACAAAGTAAGCTTTACAGACTAAGGCAGAGAAGTGATGGTGATGAGACATTATAAACGTACACAACTGTGTAAATACCCTGGAATGACACTACATAAACTTGTAAACATTGTGACACAAAACAAGTAATATTTTCATCAGCTTTCACGTAGATGCTTCTCTTTTTTGAGTTTGCATAAGTATGCTTGTGTTCCTTATAGATAACTTACCGTGTGGTGTCCTACCATGAAAGAAAGATTTGTTCAAAGAAAAATTCATACATTTCCTGCAAAACTTGATATACAAACTTAAAAAGACTCCAGAAGAGGAGACTTTGAAAAGGATAATTTACATTACTGAAGGGCTGATTGTGTCTAGCATGTTTGATTAGGAACTAGTGTTACTATATATGCAAGCTGCATTTATTTCTTTGTGAAAGATATGAAATTTTGGGTGTTAAGATTCCTTATTCTGTGCACTCAAAGCCTTGGGTACTTGAAAATTTAAGATGCACAATATCCTGTTTCTATGGAATAAGATCCAGCAGCATCTAGGTGGTGGTGTGGTGCTGGTGTAAGGTTTGGGTATACATACAACTTACTACTAACCTTACTAACCTCTTCCTTTTCAAAATGCGGTCTGGATTGCTGAACAATATGCTGCATGTGCATTATCAGTCTATGTAAAATTCATCTTTCATTTCTGTGAAGAGTTTGCTACTCTTCTGCATTGACTGTTTCCTGCCCATAATGCTTCCTGGAGAGAAGAGGGGACTTTGAATAGATTTTGTCTTGACATTACAAAGATTGTGAATATTTTATTCAAAGTTCAGCAGTGAAGATTAATTTAATGCAATACTGGGATTTTAAAAACTAGAGGAAATAAAGATTCTAAGGGAGAATGACAAAGTTTTGGTAACTGTCTGGAAATGGTCTAGTCTCTTTAGTTACTTTGGGGTAGTGTGTGAACCTCATAGTGAACTGTTATACAGTATACTGGAAAACTAGCAGAATTACTAAAATGGATGAAGTGGAGCTCTAACTTCATGGTACAGGTTGGATCTCCCTTGTCCAGCACCATCGGGACCTGACCCATCCCGAATGAGGGAATTTGTCTGATCAGGGGATGTCCCTAGCCACTGACCTCTCAGGATGCTCCCTTTCCCTGCGGCAGGCTCCACTTCAGCCCCTCTGCCACTGGGCTACAGACTGCAGGGCTTGGACTTGAGTTCCGGCCCACTGGGGCTCCTCGGAGCAGATCTCCCCAGCCACCATGGCCTCCCTTCTCCCCTGCCCAACCAGGAATCCATGGGGATGAGGCTTGCTGGCTGCCCCTCTTCTGCCCTGCTCCACCATGAATCCCTGGGAATGAGGCTTGCCGGTTGGCTTGTTTCTGCCGCACTCCACCGTGAATCCCCGGGGTTGGGGCTTGCTGGCTGGCCTGCTTCTGGCATGCTCTGACAGGGATCCCAACAACGGGAGTTGCTGGCTACCCTGCTTTTGCTGCTGGCAGCTCCGCCCAGTCAGGGTTCCTTGGGGATGGGGCTCACTGGTCCTGCTGGACAGGGCTCCCCAAGGACGAGGCTCATAGCCAGGTTGCACTCCCAGGTGCCAGGGCTCTCTGGTCCCGCAACATCCATTGTCCTGCTGGACCATGGATGGTGCCGGACCAGAGAGTCCTGGATTTCAGAGGTTCAACCTGCAGCGTAAAACACTTTTATTGTTTCAATGTTTTTAGCCAACTGCCTCTCTCTTTATCTGGATAGTATGCTGCTGCTGGGCAAGGACAGCTGCTTCTTCCCTCCTTTTGGTAATCATAGGGTGTTACATAATAACCATTCAAATTACGTAGTTGGTGGAATTGAAAAACCTATTATTTAAAATACAGCTTGTTAGAAATAAACAAATGGCTTGTAAGTACTTGAGATAGTAAATTGTTTAAGTCACGTGTCAGCCCTCGTACTCGTTTTTTTTTTTTTTAAATCTTGACTTAGTCCCAAGTAACCATGGATTTGCTTGCCATTTGTACATATCGCACAAGCAATTCACAACTGGTAGTAAAGACTGTGACTAGAATAGTAGAAAGCATTATAGGTCACAAGCAGTGTTTCCTATAATCTTTTCCATTCATGTGTGGATTTTTTTTCATACGTGTGCAGAATAATTATGTGCAAATGTGCACCACCAATGTGTGAATGTGTACCGCCAAAGAGATGCAAAACCTAGCTGTGTGAGGAGCTCTGAGCTGAGCCTGGGGCAGACCGTTGGGATGGAGGAAGGGTTCTAGGTGCAGGCTGTTGGAGGGTGTTTGGATGCAGGCATGCTTGGGGCTAGGATAGGGATTAAGGGTGCCGGAGGGGGTTCATGATAGGTAGGGTTTCAGGAAGTGGGCTCCAGCTGAGCACTGCTTACCTCAGATGGCTCCTGGTTGGTGGTGCAAGGCAGGTTCACCCCTGCCCTGGCCCTGCACCACTCCTGAAAGCAGCCAGCAAACTCCCTCCATCCCAAGCTGTGTTGTGCCTCCCTCCCCCTCCCCTGTTCTGTGGAAAAAGAATACAAAGTGGGGAGGGGGGGCATTTTGACATCAGTGCCCTCTTTTCCCTTACCTGCCCTGCCCAGAAAGCCGGAGGCTCCTGAGGGGACAGCTCCAAGGCAGAGGGCAGGAAATGTGTAGCAGTGAGGCAAAGGGAAGCTGAAGGGCTGGCACTTGATAGCCTTTTGGCCAAATCAGTCAGGATCATCTGTCAAAGGCTCCAAGATCTACCAGTAGATCCCGATCTACTGGTTGGGGATGACTGACCTATAGCATAATGCTCCTATGTGGAAAAAAATCTTATTTAATAAATTTTGGCCTCATCTTCCAAGGTACTTAGTGTCCTTTATACTAGTTGTGAGCACCTGAAAGAATGAAGTCCTATTTTCATTAACATTATTAATAAATGTGATGATACTAAAACAGTTTTAATTGTGAATTCAAGAAAATGTGGCTTTAGTAACATGTGGGAATGGTAATTCATGATAGCACAATTGCTAAATGGGTGACCTCACATGCTCTCTCCTTGTTTCTCTGTGTGGTCCTTCCTACACCCGCTCCCCCATAGGCACCAGTTGCCCCAGAATGTGGGTGATCAAACATTTACAGGAATATTCCAGCACACTTAATTTTTTTGAGCAGAACTAGGTCCCTTTCCTTGGTTGTAGCTGATTAGGAAGTCTAACATACATTAAGATTCCTCTAAATCACAATAAACAGCTCACTATCATTTTTAAATACTACTTTCACAGTGAAGCCCTCATTAAATGCTAATACTTAGTTTTAGACTTGTCTTACAAAACACAGAAATAGCTTTATTTAAAAAAAACTTTCAGGGAAAAGATGAGGCTTACAGGGGCATGGACTGTATTTCTCTGTTTCGGGAAAGCACCTGGTCCATTTTAGCACTACCATAATATACATAATCTTCCTTTGATGCTTATTAAAGATGACAGAGTTAGTGTTTTCCAATGATTAGATGATTTCGTTTGGCCTTAAGACACCTTGGTTAAATTCAGACTCGGCCATTAAATCAGTGTGACCTCCTTTTATTCTTTAAAATGTTATAAAACCTTATTTACACCACAAATGAAGTGGTAGTGCTGATGGCAAAAGAAACCCAGATATAAATAACAAAAGGACTTTATTTTGAGGGAAGGGAAGGGGAAATTGTCTAGAATAAACATACAAAACTTCATAATATAGTGCAAGAAAATTGGATAAAAGAAAAATGTTTCATAAAAACCTCTTCAAGTAAGTTTTTGAATGTACTT